AAGAACTGATATTAGCATATTTATATATCTTATTTCGTGTAACCAGTTTTCAGGATGGTTCTCTATGTCAGACATGTCTCTAGAGTATCAGTACAACAGCTATCAGGAAGAGGAGATATACTTGTTAGTTGATAACTGTAACTGTAATATTTCTTAAAGTGTTACACTCGATAAACGTTGAAACATCGAGTGAGCGTTCTACATAAAAACCTTGATTTTATAACTAGATCTAACAATAAACACTCGTACTTCGACCTTGTTGTGTTGTTTATCGATCATCAAGTCGAAGAAGCGCTGTATCTTTATCAGGAAGAGAACTGCACGCCAGAATATATACACGTTAATGTCTGTTAAATCCATACAAATAAATATGTTAAAATCAGTTCCTGGGGTAAATATGCTGAGATCAGTAACTAGAATAAAGATGCAGATATTATTTCATTGGGTAAATATGCTGAGATCAGTAACTAGAATAAAGATGCAGAGATTATTTCATTGGGTAAATATGCTGAGATCGTTAACTGAGGTAAATATGCTAATATAAGTTTTTTGGGGAAATATGCTGAGATCAGTAACTAGAATAAAGATGCAGAGATTATTTCATTGGGTAAATATGCTGAGATTGTTAACTGAGGTAAATATGCTAATATCAGTTCTTGGGGGAAATATGCTGAGATCAGTAACTAGAATAAAGATGCAGAGATTATTTCATTGGGTAAATATGCTGAGATCGTTAACTGAGGCTGATATAGGGAACTATCTTGAAATCTGGTTACATAACACAAGATACGGTCTTAGCAGTGACCGTTTCTGTGTTAATATGTGTTACAAAGAGATACATTTTGGCTAACTTCAAATAATTCTGATTTTTCTACCAATATTTGTATTCGTGTATTCGTAGTTACAGGCAGTTGACCATCCGAGTATCCTGTAAGTCGCGTGCTCGTGACTGGCTGAAACTTAGACGTGTATATCACAAATATATTTGTACAAATATAAACATCAATAACTTTAGCAAGTAGAATTAGCCGACACTATGGTTGATTTTTACGATATTCTTAGAAACTTTTCCTGATTCTGATCTTGCTTGTGCTACAGATTTTGAATGTTTTCGTGAACTGGAAGACTCAGATACGTTAGATAAAAAATGCAAGTGGCTACCCTCCAAGTACAAGTGAGCGTCGGATCTTGTAACCCGAAACCATGTTGACGACATTTTCTAGACTCGGTGTCAAGGGTTAAGGATGGAGAATTTTGGAATTCGTACGTCAGTTTTTATAGCTGCCAAACAACACTTTAATTAAGTGGTCGTACGCTCTAATGGTAACGGCGTAGTTGTAGCGGAGAACTAAGCTATTACAGTTAGGTTTAGCACCACTTGGCTTGACTAACTGCTACTTGTAAAATATCTCGCTTCGGTAAATATGTAAGTTCCATGATTTTGTCGTCATTGGATATAATAATTTATTAGTAGCCTTAAAAATGGCGTCCAAAAGAAAAAGACAACGAAGAAAGCAGTCGGTGCCGGTAGAAATCCCGACCTATCAGCCAATCTTATCTCCAAGACTTCCAGTAAATAAACGATTGCTTGAAGTAAGAGGTTTATATCTATTCTGTAGAGACCATGTCACTGCTGAGCGTCGTAGTTACGAGGCGGGACGTGCAACAACGGAAACCGATGTTTCAACCACCATGCCGGTCGTTAGACCTAGTTTTTTACACTCTTTTACTAACAAGACCCAGCAGGAGACGACGTGTGACGAAAGAACGCCTCTTCTCAATGGTAGCCCCCAACAACGTCGACGTCATGCCTACGATACCACGTGAGTATGGGAAACAAAGTGTGATACTATTTTTCATGAAAAGTTCTTAACATTTTTAAGATTAGAATATAACTTTATTTTCTCTGAATTGAAACATACGACGTGAAAATAAATCACGTGCGTTTTATCGTTGAAAAAAAGTTTAAAAACAATTGTTTTTATCTAAAGTTTTTACCGAAAATCACCAATTTATCTTAAAGGCTTAACAAACATGTCAACAGCAGATGGTTCTGATAGGTCTAAGGTTTTACTTTTTATATATAATGATCTAAATTCAGCCTACTTTATAGATAACCAAAATGGGACCTCATAAAATGTTTGCTGTGTTCTGATGTATTAATAAATCAAAACAGTTACGAAAAACAAACGTGTTAATAAAGCGATACCGACCGAGCTTAAACGAAGCCAGACAAAGAAAGCGTCGTTATAGCCAATACCGCCTTTATCCATTAGTCACATCGTTTCTATGCTTTGTGTTTTTGCACGTACTGATTGCAGTCAGATAGTCGTCGTAATAAATAAAACTATTAATTGGTCGTACGAAAAATTCACTTCTAATAACAATAACGAGGTCTTTCTATGAACTGGAAACGTTTTGTTCCATTTTGATTTTTAAATTTATGTTACAAATGTAATTTATAAGAAGTGATATCATTTGCCACATATCCTTGTTAAGCCTTAATGTCCATTAATGGTGTGTTCATAGGAGCACGTGTGCTTATTGAAGGCCTTTTGATGTGGACGTGATATTATTTGACCCGTATCCTTGCTAAGCCCTAATGTCTGTTAATAGTGTGTTCTTACGAGCACGTGTGTGTGTGGACGTGATATTATATGTCTCGTATCCTTGTTAAGCCTTAATGTCCATTAACAGTGTGTTCATAGGAGCACGTGTGTGTATTGAAGGCCTTTTGATGTGGACGTGATATTATTTGACATGTATCCTTGCTAAACCTTAATGTCTGTTAATAGTGTGTTCTTACGAGCACGTGTGTGTGTGCGGACGTGATATTATATGTCTCATATACTTGTTAAGCCTTAATGTCCATTAACAGTGTGTTCTTAGGGGCACGTGTCTGTATTGAAGGCCTTTTGACGTGGACGTGATATTATATGTCCCGTATCCTTCTTAAGCCTTAAGGTCCGTTAACGGTGTGTTCTTAGGAGCACGTGTGTGTGTGTATCGAAGGCTTTCTGCCGTGAGAAAGTGGATTAACTTTTCACTCTGCTGCTCTAGAGATGACTATAATACGGAACCCACCAGTCCACAAGAAGAAGAGTCAGATGATGAAGAAGAAAAGAAGCCGCGCTGGATGACTATCTTGAATTACGTGAAGATTGCAGTGTTATCAGCATTTATCATTTTCACTGTGGTAAGTTCTATTTTTACATGCAAGTCAGATAAAATGGTTCAAGTGTTTACAACTCAGACGTCTAATTTTGAACAACAAAGTATCATTCATGCCACTTCTTACGAGTAATAGACATACCTACATCATAATAAGAGCTGTGTGAATCATTTAATAAAAAAAAGTTGGTTTGTTAGCACTTACAGAATATACAAAAACTATGATGTTAAAGACTTAGTCGTTTTATTTACTTCAAGTGGAATGAAACAGAAATAAAATAGAAAAATATTGAAGATACCATACGTACAGGGGGGTTCTTATATCACTATAGTGTACCAGTGTTTTTATGGTTTTCTTTTTGGAATATGATATTAGGGGCTGTCCCACCTATGTTGGGAGATGATAAGAGGGATTGTCCAGTGTTTTTGGAATATGATATTAGGGGCTGTCCCGTCTTGTTAGAATATGATACGAGGGGCTGTTCCATCTTGTTGGAATATGATATGAAGGACTGCCCCGTTTTGTTGGAAGATGATATGAGGAGTTGTTCCGTCTTGTTGGAAGATCGTTTTCTCAAATGCTAACTTGTGGTAATAACTATTAGGTTTGCAATATAATATTATTTTTAAACAACAGGCCATGTCCAAATCTTCGTGAATACAGTTTATGATACTCAACGTTAATTGTCTCTATAATCATCTGTATATTACCGAATATCAGTCTTGTTAATTAATCTGAATTAATTTCTTGAAGTTCGAGTTTGTTTCTGAAAAACAATTGTTACCTTATTATTCACTGGACAATCCCTCTTATCATCTTCCAATATAGGTGGGACAGCCCCTAATATCATATTCCAAAAAGACTGGACAATCCCTCTTATCATCTTCCAACATTAGTGGGACAGCCCTTCATATCGTTCTCCAGCATAACTGGACAACCCCTGATATCTTCCAACAAGACTGGACAGCCCCTCATATCTTTAGTTACGCTTGTCGCAAGTACCTAGAATCGTACTCAGTTCATTCAGAGATAAATGGTCTACACTCTACAGGATCCTTCTAAACATTATACCAGACAATGTGCCAACAGATCTCTTCAGACATTATATCAGTAGATCTCTCCAAACAATGTACCCGAAGATCTCTCCACATATTGTAACTGGCGATCTCTCCAGACAATGTGACAACAGATCTCTTCAGACATTATATCAGTAGATCTCTCCGTGAATATATGTGCTGGTTCAATGACTGGAGAGATCTACTGGTATAATATGTGAAGAGATTTGTTTGTACAATGTTTGATAGATGTACTAGTACAACGTCTGGATAAATCTCCTACAATAATATCTGGAGAGATTTGCTGGTACAATATTTGGAAAGATCTGCTGGCACAATGTCTGGAGAGATATGTTGGCACATTGTCTAGATCTACTGGTATAATATCTCCAGTCATTGAACC